CATCCTTGTTGCGTTGACATTGAACGATGTGAAGTCATTTTGACCGATTCTAGTTTGAACGGGAATTATAATATCTCTTTGTGATAAAAAATTTTTAAACTGTTACACCCTCTGTTAAATTGACCGTTCAATTATATATTGTTATAAAGTTTCATAAAGCATTTTCTGTTCTATCTCCTGAATGAGCATTTTTTAATTGCCTTTAATGAAGAAAGTAGTGTACGTCAGTTGGCACCAAAATACCGATTAATTGCTACTTAAGCTATCGACACCGATCAGATGTTCGTTAAAGGATTCTTGGCTTGAAAAAGGCATATTCTTATTTCCTGAGTGAAGAACACAGTCAATTTAGCGTGTGATAGTTAATCAGGGACAGATATGCAACTGTTTAAATCGCCATCCTTAAGCATAATTTGTATCTTCGTTTTGCCTTAAGTTGCTAAAATATTACTATCTGTTGTACCATAAGAACATGTGGTAATTATGCCATGTAGTAATAAATGGATGACGAACTGTATGGTTGATTGACCTGCCAGACACGTAGCATTTCTTGGAATACCATGAGTTAGGAAAAAGAATAAAACAGTTCGAGTAATGTCGAGAGCAATTTTGCTACTAAGCGGGACAAAATTTAATTTTGTTACTGACGTAAACAATCGTCACTTTTAAGGGACATGTTCTTTAAGTCACTGTTTGGACTAGTCTTTAAATGTAGTTCAAATTTCTTCAAAATACTCATTGTATATGCACGTGAGCTAATGTACGTTCAGCTCAAACCCATTCGATGCACTGGTTATACGGCACAGCAATTAGTTATTAACTATTTAGCCAGTTCAGTGTATTGGAAAACGTTTTTGCCTAACTTCTGAAAAGCACTGTTTCGAGAAAACGAAATTACTTTAATTTATTGACTATGAAAGCAAACAGTAGACATTAAAGTAAGGACTCAAACAGTATTATTGGCATCACTATTACAGTTCTAAGTACCAGTTCCAGCCTGGTATTGCAATGATTAAGTCACTCTTTGGCGTAACCTCGAAGCTTCTATGTTTGTCGTTCACAGTAATACTTTAGGACACCACAATCAACGGGAAAATCCGTCGCGATGACGGAAACCCAGAAGAGCTTTAAGGATGATATTTGGAACATTAAACGTCTGGTCATCAACGAGTACCAAATCGTAAGTGTCCAAAAACTGGGAAAACGATTTTTCAATCTAAAAAATTTTGTCGTTGGCCTTAAAGCAATTGGGAGATTCTTTCGTACCTGTTCGTTCAAGAAACCTATCCGTAGAATGCATTCCTCGTACACTAGTCCGCGGTCCATCTGCACGTCGCCTAACATATCTCCTAACAGAATAACGTTTGGTCTGTTTTGAAGATCATCGAAAAATTTCGAGTTAGTGTCGATTGCTGCGGTGCATTTGTTAAACGAATGCAAAAGTGGTGGTCGGAAGCCACATACTGTACCCTAAACACCGAAAAGTGCTAACAAATTCGTAAACACATGATACAGCCGCAAAATGGTATCGGATTAATCTTCTATTGATTTTCATGAGAGATTCCAAAACAAGAAACGAGGTAGCTCCATTTTAGGAGGCAGGAAATGATTAAATATTTCAGTGGTAAACGAGTGCTTCATTCATGAAGATGACTTATTTTTTATCACAGTCCGATGTATACTTATAATGTTATCAGATATACGCAGAACGGTACCGTCTTTCCCTTGTTATGAAAAGCCGCATGAGACGTAATACAATACGACGGAACGGTGGTCTATAGGAAAAACGAAACGATTCGGTAACAGCGGAAAACCTAGCTGCGTTCGAGATCACGTTGATTGATAGCTGACCCACATCATATACATTAAACGATTCAAATTTAAACAGTTTCACCGAGCTATCCCTTTACAACAGAAATATGCATCTCACATGAGAATGATAAATGGCGAAGTAGTGAGGCGCCATATAAACCTTGATTTCTGTTACTACTGATAAAATAGCTACCGTTCCATAATCATATAGTACTATACATAAATAGTTCAATTTTAATTTAACAAATTAAACTATCACGTCAAATACGCGTTCCTTAGCCCAAGTTGTCTAACTGATGTATAACTTTTCTATGTTCATACTTCTTCACGGCGCACTGTATTGCACTTTTTTTCTATGGAACATATGAAGAGACTACGGCGGAACAGAAGACCTAGACACACCGAGCACTCTTGCTAGCCACCAGAACTTTATGTAACCGACAGTTTTTATACGTAACCGCGTAAAAAATCTGTAGCGTCATGCGTCCGAGTATGTTAACAGCGTCTTAACTTCTCCAAAACCATACCTTTATATTATAAGTTGCATTACTTGTATCGTTGTATAAACCTATTTATATGCATCATTGTATAAACTCACCGTTTCCTATCTTCAGGCAAATTAAACAAATACAACTAAAGTAACAACGCTTAGTGATTGACTGTAGTGCTACCAGCCATACTGAAACAGTTGTTATTCCAATAGTGAATTCGTTATACTAGCAAAACACTTACCGTTTCATCGTATTCCATAAAATTGCTAATGATGTGTAAGTTCGACGGAACGTGACCAAATGTTTGCTGAAAAATAATTTCGATTATGTCTCCTATACCGGCCGAAAAAACACAGAGAGGGATGTTGAACTCTTCCAACGTACTACCAAAAGAAACCAAACCGTCTCTGAAAAAAGTAATATTTTACACAATTTAAGACAGAACTAATATCTCATAGACAGACAAGCAATTTGCTACGAGAACGCAGGAGGTTGCTGCGATCCGTTGCTCGTCTTCCATTGATTCTGTCATCGTGCGTCAAGACGGCTTAAATATCCTGATTTTCCCACAACTGAACTCTCCAAAGGTGGACGTGGCTCACGTTCAAATGTTTGATCAAGGATTCCGAGACATCTCCTCTGCATCAGACAACATTATCTCTCGTGATAAACACAACCCGCGTCGAATCAATGGAAACTATTCTATGAATGACATAATCGGTCATCACAATGAGTCAATGAGGAGAAGTCCGTCCATAATGGCTTTGGAACGGCTGTCAACGTTGGCAGCAAAGTCGCGGTGTAGTTTTCTTGACGCCATGCCAGAGGTAAGTAAAGAGACTCAAACATCATAGCCGGATTCAGTCACAGGCCCAACAATTACAAATAATTTTACAGATACAGCCATCGAAACAGTGTGCCACCGGCGCCACAACTTACTGGCACAATAGCCTTAGCTCCAACCATACGAAATCAAAACGAGGGATCATGAAATAACAAGAAGTCTCACAAATATCTGATTCAAAGGCGAGTAGTTTAGCCATTTAGTATAGAAAATTTGACGAGGCGTTATTATTTATTTAATAAGCTAATCCTCTGTTCAAAGGGCAGACAATATGACATACCATTTTACATGGTATTCTTCTATCGATATCATCCTCATACCGTGAATTGTATTCAGTTTTGTCCAATGAGGCATGAGACAACTTAAACTATTTTTCTATATCCTTTTCGACTCAAAGATAGAGTGCCACTGGGATTTAATTCCAAAACAAAGCACGATTAAAACCATGTTCGGCTCTGCGTTCACCTTCTCACCTTCTGAACGGAGCACAGGAACTCTTGGAAAAGTCGCAAGGAGAAATCAGATGACGTCTGGGAACGAGAAAAAACCATCATCACACCATTTAGATGTCCAGGAGCCGAAAATCTGGCGGATTAACGAAACTCGTCCAAACGTCCCTCATAATTTCATGCTGACATCACTCTGAACGTAAGAATATAATTTTTTTATAATAACATCTTTCCTGTTTAATGACTTATTCACAGCGTGACTAACATTAATACCCCAGCCAATGCAAAGTCTGGGCCCAGTGATTTTTGTTACGATTCTTTCAGAGGACTACAAGACACAAAGATAAGCGAAATAGACGTGTACACCTTCAAAATCTTGTTTCATGACAATTTAATACCGAATGATAGAGATATATATATATCAGTCATACCGTCAACAATCAGTGCTTCGTCTATGAGAAGGAACTTTGGTATACGCAATGCATATTTTAGCTAACTTGACTATACACCCGTTTACTGATTAAAATGTCAACTGTGATTATCCATCTGTTCATAAACGAAATTATAAAGATGGCAGCAACTATCGAAGAATTTTTCAACTCAGTCTGTACGAATAAAAGCAAGCAACTCGTGCAGTGTTGCGGTGCAACCCAGTGGAATGACTAATTCGTGTAACACTACTGCAGCACCTGTGTAAAGTAAATTTTTTGCAATGCTTCCGGATTAATATCCATTCAGTAGTGAGAATATTCATTCTGCTCCAGCCACAGCTACGAGTCGGCATGTTCCGACTCAGTGACACGGTGTATGTCGTCAATTACTGCAAGCGCTTAAATAAGATGATGCGGTTTGCTTATATGACTCACCCTTACCTCCGCCCGACCGCAAGGGGGCTGTAAGCAAAATGGTAGTGCAATGATGCGGTATAACATTGGAAAACGTGTTTCCATCAGTCTTAAAATACCACAGTATCGGTGAAGATATGAAAATTTAAGTAGGAATCAGAAAAACCGCATCAACTCCTTCGATCTTTCTATTCAGTGTAATCACTGAATTCAAAGCGAAATCAGAAGAAATTACGATATACAGTAGTGCAGAAAATTCAGACGAACAATGTGGGTTCCGACTCGGTCGCAGAACCACGTACTATTCGTCATCTCCACCCAAAACGCTGGGAATATGCAAGGGAAGTTTATGCCTGCTTTACAAACCTAGCAAGAACCTTACAACAAATGACCTCGCTCGAAGCCATTAAAATTACTCTGAGGAATATGTAGTAAACGACTAACTACTGACGACCACCAATTCGTTTGTATCTGAATTAACAGAGCGAATATGATGCCTTTCTAACTGTTGTCTAGAAATGGCACGTGTTTTCTCTTTTCTAATTCATAATTTTCAGGGACTAGATCACCAGAAATTCTTTACATCTTCGCTTCATCTTATAATGACTCCGACAGGTTCCTTACAACATACGATGAAGCCAGGACAAAAATTAACCAAATCGGAACATACTCTGGAGAAAGAATATTCGCTGCGCACAGCAGGAAAGTGGATTGTCGGCAAAGCAGGTAGAGAAGCTTAATTATCCGCGGATACTTTGAAATGATGGCAGACAGGGGTAAAAAGAAGCGCCCCGATTGATCAGAAGCTTGCTTTAATATAGAAAGTAAGCTGACCCGTACCTATACCTGCTCCCACGCTTTGTTGCGACTGCTGAATAATGACTGAGACGATATGATACCTAACAAAGAAACGTCGAAATGAGATTCTTCGAATGAATTACGATACATAACGCATGTCATTGAAATGACTCTAATATCAAACATCAAAAATGAACCCACAAAATACAGAAAGACGCAACAAATGGAGTCGAGCCGTGGATCAAAAACAATAGTCTAATATTAAACCGCAGAAAGTATCCATTTACCCTCTGAAATGAAAAACATGAGGTTTAAAAACTAATCATTTAAACCAATCACCCCATCACTACGAAGGGTGTCTGACTCATCTAGTAACACTGTGAGACACTAGAGGATCCTGCCGAAAGACAAATCGAACTGGCCACATCATGTTCTCTGGGCACTCTCAAAAGTACGCACGCAATGGTATTATTTGCTGCGACTGAGCGGATTACCTTTCTGTAAATCTAGAAAAAAAGAAGAAACAAGGTAAAGTTGGTCACCGCTTGAATGTCGGCCTTCACTTTTATGTTTGAGGCGCCTTTCTTTTCACGAGGTTGATGGTGCGGCGCTGATCTTCGTTAATACAGCATCAGCCAGGATGCCTTATTTGTTCTAAAGGCAGGGTCTACGGCGATAAAACAACGTAGCATACAGTCTACTTTCCCTTCCAACGTAGTGGTAGTTTTTTATCAATCTCAAAAGGAACAAGGGCGAATGACAATGACTGGGGCTTGAACTCGGGACCTATCTGTTCTGAGTTCGATGCTCTACCGAGTGAGCAACCCCGATCTGAAGCCATGTCAGATAAAGTAATTCGTGAATAAAACGGAAAATGCCCTCGAACTGAATCGAATCCTGAACCTCCGGCATTTGAAGCAGACCTCACAGACAACTATGCAAACAAACCCATCTAGAGAAAATGCCTGATATCAGTTTTTACTTACGCCGGCCCCGTGATACCTGATGGATTACTGAAAAAGGACTACAAGTAGAGAAAAGTTAGAATACCAGAAATGATTAACTTTCCACTTTCTGATAGACGATGGGGAAACGGGCAGACTGTCCACTTTGACGATAGACGATGGGGAAATAATCTATCGAATCGAACAACGATCAAAGCGACCTGTCATCTGGAACAATCGTTTCTGACCGACTTTAACCACTGATGAACATGAAGTTCACAGAAGCACCTTCCAAACACCCGGAATTTGAAGTTTTTAAAGTCATACCTATCCATACATACTCCTATCGGTGTCAATCGTATCGTTGCTCTCCACGGTTTTACGGCAACCGGATGAAGAGAAAATTTTGCTTGTGAACAGTTTACGGATTAGGCTATGGAAACGGTAATGTACTGTTATGTATGCAACTTTGCCTTTTGATTTTCTGGATGGTGAGTTTCTGTTCAAAACTGAGATGGGACCTTCCTGTGCTTAAACAAACTGTGGTTGATCAAGCAGCTAATATATTTGATTGAAGCGAAGTTCCAAAAGGTTCTAGAAACCTCGTATGATAATCGATCTTTCTCGAAACCAAAACATCACACCTCAACTGCGATAGTTTGAACAAACTATCAGGCTGTAACAGGAGAGACTCCCGAGGCGAAATCGCTTGGGCAAGCCACCTGGCAAGACGACTCAAACACCGACCACTGACCTAATGGCTCAATCATACAAAGAACTTAACGCTACCGCGCTTTGAAATCCAACCCATGGAGCTTTGCTAATTGGAGGAGAAACAAGATTATCTGAAAAGCTTGTAACAGCTGTTCTTATCGCTTTGACTTTCGCGGCAGGGAGGGAGAAGTAAATCTTTTTTGTTTCTCATGTAAATCTCACGTAAAATGAATTTATTATTCATTCTTAATTTGTATAACCCATTTTCAAATCAAAATTTAGACGGAACACGTGATTCTTACATCCAAACTACTGTAACTTATCTCAGATACTCCACATTTGCATGATAAAAAAGCAAGACAGAATGTCTTCTACCTGAGCGCAAGCCCAGCATGTTTCATGAACCGTTCCATCTGCCCCTTCGTCAGATGCGCCTTTGCGATACACTCGTGTACCTCATTCCACCTGAAATATAAAAGTGATTAGAAAACCTAACTTTAGAAAAACAGAAAAATACCCTAATTCAGACAGGAGCTGAAATTACGGTCAAAACTAATCATACTCAAAACTGAAAACCGTAAGGAACCTAAAACATCTCATAAAAGACGGATCAGCTTAGATTATGCCAAAACAAATTTATCTAAGGAGTAAACCTTGGGAAGAATTTGGCGATAAAGAATCTGGCCACCCAGACAGAATTCAAGTTATCTACTGAAAACGTGAACGTTTACACAATAGTGCCAAAATGGCAAGAAATTTCAAACTCAGTAAATGTAACTTTACGATGTAACAGTAATCACATTTAGACTTTTCTGTTTTCCAAACTTTATATTTAACATTTGTTATAAATTTGGTATAAACAATCGAAACGAGGAAGGGCTGCTGGCAAAAACGGAACTTCACTGAAATTCGTGGAATCAGAAGATGAAGGAATGACCAAGATTTAGCGCGCTTGATTCCACAGTGTCTGAAGGAGCGGAAAATTTCAGACGACTGGACTACTAGTGATGCTAGTACTCGGTGATGCTAGTTTGCCGAAATAGGGACAAAGGGTATTTTAAGAACTACAGGCCAATCAGTTTGTGGCCAATCATCTACAAGAGTTTCCCGAAGGTACGGACGAACTGACTTAACGCTGTAAAACAACAGGAGCAATCAGGATTTAGGTATTGATTTAGTACGATAGACCATTTCCATTTTCCAGGTGGTACAAATTGTAATTCAACTTTTTCTCTACATGGAGTTCGTCGACTTGGAGAAGGGTTTCGAATCGACCTACATCGCTTCTGTTACTGGATTCCCTGATGAGCGAGGGAACCGAGAGAAGACACAAGACCTCGTCCCATGACCTACAATAATGCAACCGGTAGTCGAAGAGTCACAGAACCACAGATAAATTCCAAATCGAAAAGAGCGTGTGACAGGGTGCAACGTCACCGTTATTCAGTTGAGCCCTATAAAAGATTTTCAAGACGCTCCACTGAAAAATCAGGGGCTTAAAAAAGCGGATAGGAACTGCTTAAGCTACCTGGGGTTTGCGGATGACAGTGTGATCCTCTCAGGACACCAGAAGAACTCAGAGAAAAATATGAAAGCTAAACGAGGCAAACATCAAAGTAGGACTGAAAATAAAAACGGGTCTTGTTTAAATAATAAGTGGCCCCCTGACCTGTCAACGGAATATGGCTTAAAGAAGTGTAAAAATACGTTTCTCTGATAGCTGATCTCCACAACCGGAGAAATGTAAGCATTTTAGGAAGACTGAAATTATTCTTATCTGGGAAATTACTGTTGTGTCTGA